AATAGATGAGACTAAGAGAGAGAGAGTGCAGAATGGGGAGAGAGGTGAGGATAGACATCTAAGGGTCAGGAGGAGAAGGAGGAACCTTTAGGGAAGTTTGAGAAGGAGTCATGTGCTGTCATGGAAACCAAGACAGAAAGAATTTCAAGCTGGAGGAGTATCCCCTGTGTAAACTGTTGCAAAGAGATCAAGGAAGATAAGGATTTGACAACTAGTTAGATATAGCACAAGGTCAAGGAGTGGAGCAGAGGCCAGACTGAATGGTGAGGAATGGAAACAATGAATGCTAGGGCCGTGGAAAACAGAAAAAGATTCAGAGAGGACCATTATGGGGGAAGTTTTAATAAATGCTGGGGAGACTGAAGCCCAGAAAGGTGAATGGCTGTTACTTCTGATAGACTTGATTGTGGAATCCAGGCAACTGCAAATTTTACCTCTATCCTTGAGAATTCAGTTAGTAAAATTAATTCTAGTATGAAGTGGAAAAACCTTAGCTTGGCACCCAGTTTAGAGGACATTTCTACAGCTGACTTTTTCTCCCATGATTTAATGGCTACGATTATTGATCACCTCTATGTGATCAATAATCAAGCCTGGCACCAGGCTTGTGTCTTGTAGATCTGGTCTTTGTGGTTTGTCTGCCTCTGGGTACTATCGTAAGTACAAACTCCAGACACACTTAAAAAGATTCTTTGAAGTGAATGAAAGAGGCTGAAATCAGAAGCCAAACACTCATTAGAATATGCTGTTCTTAAAAGGTACTTTGATATAAGGTATTTTCATGCAGAAACCCAGCTCCTTTTTGGTGTTGCCCACGAATGTGAGACATCACACCAGGACTGCAATTCCCAGGGCCAAGCCAACAGCTTCGATGAATTGCCCCTTGCCAGCCTGAAACTGCCATAAAATGTTGTCTTTCTCCTGAGGGTGGCCATGAGGCTGCTTCCCCTTTGGTGGCACAACATGTAATAGCAGAGTGAGCATCAACCTGGACAGTGAAACGTGGCTCAGTTTGATTGCATTTTAGATCCTAAATAGAAGAGTAAATGTTCTGCATGTCTGCTATCAAGATCCTAATTCCAATATTTATCACTCCTGCCAGGTCTCAATTTCCAACTGTTAAATGAAAGGGCATTGAGTACCACCCTACATTTGTATATGGGTATTTGTAAGTGCCACTGTATATGCCATCAAAATTCTATTTATACTTCATAATCACATACGATACTGAGTGTAATTTATATGTAGAGATTGTTTACTTTGAAAAAAGAGAGCTAATAATTTTGACTAAATCATGCAGTTTAGAAAATGTTCCAATAGAGTCAGTAATCTAGTGTACTTTTAATTTAGTATAATGCCACCTGCCTTAATTCACATTTGTTCTTTCAATGTGGTTCAGTTAAAAATAAAACAAAAATTTTATTGAAATGATACCTTTGATGCAAGGTCTTAATAATTCCATGAAAGAAAAATAAAATAAAACAAAACTCAATGACAACTCATTAAACATTTTAACCAAAAGATGAGAGAGAGAGAGAGAGAGAGAGAGAGAGAGAAAGAAAGGAAAGAAAGAAAGAAAGAAAGAAAGAAAGAAAGAAAGAAAGAAAGAAAGAAAGAAAGAAAGAGGAGGGAGGGAGGGAGGGAGGGAGGAAGGAAGGAAGGAAGGAAGGAAGGAAGGAAGGAAGGAAGGAAGGAAGGGGGAAAAAGGAAAGGAGAGAGAAATTGTATTCTATTTAAGGGATTGCAGGTTAGGGAAGATTCCTATTTTATCTCACGTGTATAAATGCAGAGTTATCCCTAAGCAAAAATTTTCTGTTGTTTTAAGATTAGATATCACTAGGGGTGCCTGGGTAGCTCAGTTGTTTAAGCTTCAGACTTCGGCTCAGGTCATGATTTCACTGTTCGTGCGTTGGAGCCCAGCATCAGGCTCTGAGCTGATAGCTCAGAGGTTGGAGTCCGCTTTGGATTCTGTGTCTCCCTCTCTCTCTGCCCCTCTCCCGCTCATACTCTGTGTGTCTTCCTCTCTCTCAAAAATAAACATTAAAAAAAATTAATAAAAAATAAAAAGATTATGGGGCACCTGGGTGGCTCAGTCGGTTGAGCATCCGACTTCGGCTCAGGTCATGATCTCACAGTTCGTGGGTTCGAGCCCCGCATCAGGCTCTGTGCTGACTGCTTGCTCAGAGCCTGAGCCTGCTTCAGATTCTGTGTCTCCTTCTCTCTCTGCCCCTCACTCTGTTTCTCAAAAATAAATAAATGTAAAAAAATTTTTTTTAAATAACATAAAATAAATAAAAAGATTAGATACAATTAAATAATGACGTTCAATAGAATAATTGTTAGAGAATGATTTTTATGAACTAAAATTCTGAAAGAACAAAGAAATTTTATTTTATAATATTTTTAAATGCTCATTTTAACCAAATAACTACAGATAAGCCTTTTATGTGTTTATATCCAAAGAATCTATAGTGGGATCTAAGCACCAGTTGGATAGAGGGAAAGTAGTGAATAAATTAGAAACAGATATACAAAGAAACCCAAGAAAAAACAATTGCTGCTCTGCTTCTTCAAACGACTTTCATAAAATAATTCAGGTTTCTAGCATGTCTGAGATCTGAAGTAATTGTCAGATGCGCAGGACTCAGGAGCTTGTGAAAGTGAATTCAGCTCAAAGGAAAGACAAGAGCCACACCAGACTGACAAGACTTCAGGAAATAAGAAACCTCATAAGCCAGGCAGTCTGACCACCAGTAGTAACATCCTTTGGCTGGATGGCTATAGGCTTCTGAAAGTAATCATCTTTGCCATGTTTTCTTCCTTTTCAAGCCATTAGATAGTTTGTATAAACATTAGGGTATTATACAGTATTCTAATACAGTATTAGAATGAACTTACACTGTATTTCTGTGATTAGCTTCCTGATCTAGAAGACTTCTGAAGACCCTATTTCCCTAGAAAGAGGGTTCCTACCATTGTTTAATCAAATTTTCCTGAAGAGTGAAAAGAAAACAGTGGATGACTATTAAACTCTGGGCACCATTATATGTATTATCTAAACCTCACAGCAACCTTGTGCAGTACCATTATCTCTTTTGCAGATGAGGAATCTCAATCTGAGAGACATTAATTAACCTGACCAAAGTTACACAGCTAGTTAAATTAGCGGCGGAGTCTTAATTTAAGTAAAGCCTGGCTCCTTACAAAACATCATGCGACTTTCCAAGATGAAACCTCCTTTATTTAATTTGGTAGATTTTTTTTTTTTTTTTTAGATTTTATTTTTAAGTAATCTCTATACCCAGTGTGGGGCTTGAACTCACAACCCCAAGATCAAGAGTTGCATGCTTTACCGACTGAACCAGCTGGGCATCCTGGTAGACATTTTTTATCATATACTTAAGAGCCTACTATTAAAAAGAAGGTATACCTGAATGTGAATATTTATTAAATCTAGGAGAAGACACTGACCTTGACTCATATCTCATGACCCTACTTTGGTCCTTGTAGCAATGCATCAAAGAAAACCTCCAGAACCTTCTGGCATTTCCTGACGAGTGGTTGTAAGACTTTGCATTTCCCAGATATCTCCAGGAACTGAAGAGGTTTTGTTTATTCTCTACAGATTCAGGTGAGAAAATAACAGGCCATAGGGAAGGCTTGCCCTTGCTTAAAGCCTAAGACTATGACTATCACTATGACTGTGATGGCTCAGTGCAAATACTAGGTACCAGTGGTCACTTGCAAGTTTCCCTGGAGAGCCAGACCTGCTCCCTAACTGCTAAATGTTATTAATAAGAAACACACCTAAAGGGAAAGGACAAAGAAAAGGCAAACATAAGTGATTATTAATAATATACCAGGAAAATACATATAAAAAAAACCCATACCTACAATAATAGTAGACTAAACAAGAATTCAAGAATAAAAAACTGTACTATGAAATGACAAAAGCTATCCTTCACAAAGAGGATATAATATTTTTGTGCCAAGCAACATTAGTGCCACCTAAACCAAGAGTGAATCCAATTATAATATTGAAAATAAACACTTTAGAAACATATAATGAATGATAGATATACACATACCAATATGTAATTTACATCAAAGAATATATATTCTTCCAATTATGATATTTGATTGTATATTTGGCTATAAATAACCTTAATAAATTATAGAAAACAGAAATAAAATTCCAATAAAATTAGAAATCAACAATAAAAAAAGAAACACCCTGTTTTTGTTTTTGTTTTTGTTTTTTTTAGAGAGAGAGAAAGAACCTTAAGCAGGCTCCACACTCAGCACAGAGCCAGACACAGGGCTCGATCCCACGACCCTGGGATCATGACCTGAGCCAAAATCAAGAATTGGATACTCAACTAACTGAGCCACCCAGGCACCCCAAGAAACACTCTAAATAAACCCTAAACCAAAGTAAAAGCAAACTATTTAGAAAGTAATAACATACCACTTCATATTAAAATATATGAGTATAGCTAAGGCTAAATTCAGATGAAAATGCACTCTTTCAATACTTCTATTACTAAAATATGAATATTCAAATTAAATGTTTTAATATTAAATGTAATATTTCTGATATTAAATATTAGAAAATAGTACCAAAATAAATCAATACAAAGCAGGAGATATGAATTAATAAAGATAAAAGATTAAAATAATAAAATAAAAACCAACAAAAAGAGTTACAAACTGAAAAGCCTCACTAAGTTTCATTAAAAGGAAAAGAAAGAGAAAACAAAACAGATGAGACTAGTGATGAGAAAGATATCATAGATAATGAATAGGATATTATGTGTGATTATAAGACAAATCAGTTTGAAAGACTGAAAGGGGCGCTTGGGTGGCTCAGTCAGTTAAGCATCCAACTTTGGCTCAGGTCATGATCTCATGGTTCATGGGTTTGAGCCCTGGGTCCGGCTCTGTGCTGACAGCTCAGAGCCTGGAGCCTGCTTCAGATTCTGCGTCTCCCTCTCTCTTTGCCCCTTCCCTGCTCACACTCTGTCTCTGTCTGTCTCTCTCTCTGAAAAATAAGTAAACATTAAAAAAAAAAGAAGTCCGAAAGAACTATATGATTTTTCTGTAAAAGTATAAATTAACAAAACTGATCCAAGAAAAGTTAGAAAAAAAAAACCCCTCCTGAACAGACCCATAACTGTATCCTAGATTGGAAAGATAATTAAAGACCTCCCATTAGAAAAAAAAAAAAAAAAAGTTATGCCACAGAAGCATGTATCAAGACAAGATAGTTTTATAATTAGGTTCTATTTAATCCTTAAAAACAGGTAATACAGGGGCACCTGGGTGGCGCAGTCGGTTAAGCGTCCGACTTCAGCCAGGTCACGATCTCGCGGTCCGTGAGTTCGAGCCCCGCGTCGGGCTCTGGGCTGATGGCTCAGAGCCTGGAGCCTGTTTCCGATTCTGTGTCTCCCTCTCTCTCTGCCCCTCCCCCGTTCATGCTCTGTCTCTCTCTGTCCCAAAAATAAATAAACGTTGAAAAAAAAAATAAAAAAAAAAAACAGGTAATACATATGGTTTTGTGTGCTATACCAAGCCACAAAAAATGTATAAACTCCCTTAAACCTTAAAATCTGGTAAGTACAAACCATAGGTATAGTTATTGAAAAATAAACTTCACCTATAGAAAGGATTAATGGGAACTATTTCTTTGCAACAAATATATAAAAAATCAAGATTCTGGCTCTCTAATTGCTCCAAGGTACTGAGACAAATCAGGCAGGAGCACTCCACAGTGTCTGGGTAGGATATCCCTGGGTCCAACCCAGAGACCATTACCTGTATGAGTACTAGACCAAGTTTCTAAGATGAAATGAGGCAGCCAAATCTTGTTCAGAAGATGGCAGTTATCACTAGGTAAGTTCAACTCCTGTAAAGGCTTCTTGACCTATTATTTTCTTAGCTAAAACTGAAACAAAACTTCACTGTGTCAGGCACTGGATTAAGCATTTCTGCATTATTTTCTCATTTACTTTCAATATCCCCATAAGGTAGGTATTATTATTATTCACATTTTGAAGATGGAGAAATAGACTTTCCAGGTCATACAGGATGGAAGTGGCACAGCCAGGATTTGAATCCTGATGAGAACCCAATCTAGAACCATTCTGTGTACGCTTTCCCTAAACCTATTCTGCTGGGCCTTCTCATCCTATCACTGTATATGCTATTATTTTTGCCTAGAACCCTTAACCAAAATAATAATAGTAGTGGTAACCACAATAAAAGCTATTTTTAAGGTAATAGCTGCCATCCATTGAGTGATATGTTCTGAGCACTGTGCTAAGAATGTTACATGCATTATCTCATTAAGTCCTATGAGGTAGATATTATTCCATCTTTCAACAAAACATGATGGTCTGCACGTTCCAAAGGCACAGTGGAAGGATTTGGGAGGACAGTAGTTGGTGAAAGAGTGTTTCATGACAGTATTCTCAAAGAAATGTCCTGGTAAGCAGCAACATTTTTTTATCACCTTAAAATATTTCCTACTGAGGTAAAAAAAGAAAAAATTTTCCAAAGATTACATGTTTACATATAGTTTTACTATCATTGAGAGGTCATTAACCAAGTTAAAAGAAGCTGTTGAAAAGTCTTGATAGAGTACCATTAAAACATTCCACATCTAATCAGGAAGATAAAGGAATCAATTACTCATAAGGAAAATGCCACTTAACACAAGAGAGACATCAATCTTATCTGACCTCATCAGTTATACCCTCACATAATTTTAGCATCTTTAGGTAAAGTTAGAATCTATTAATACTAGAAAAGACAACACTGTATATCAACTACTCTCTCTTCCAAATATGTAATTTTTTGTCTTCCCTGGGTCTGATAAATTGGCCCAAGGTAAGAATCCCTAAATAAATACCACTTGATCCTAGACAGTGTTACTACATCTTAACTGTGGTATTAGTTTTGATAAATTTGGGGAAAAGGCACAGAGATTTTGATTCCACAGAGCAAATGGAAGAAATACAACACTTCTAAAAATTGTCAACTTTACATGGCCTATTGATATTTAGCTAGTTTGAATAAAGAAACCTGTCCTTCCAACTAAATAAGAGCCTCTTTAAAAATCTGTCATTATAGAAAAGAGAATTTTAAAATATATTTTGGTATCAATAGGGAAAATTTGAATATGGCTTGTATATTTTTATTGTGATAATGTTATCATAGTTATTTAGGAGAATGTCTTTATTCTTAGATGACACATACTAAAGTATTTTGGGGTGAAGTACCATGAGTTCTACTACTTTTAAGTGGTTTAACAGTAACAAAGGGGGGTAAAATATAGCAAAATAAGAGTGGTGACTCTACATGAGGGGTGTATGGCTTCTATTATACTAATTTTCAACTTTTCTGAAGGATTATTATATTTCAAAATAAAAATTTAAGAGAAGAAATGTGATTACAGACTTGTGTCTTAGTAGCTAACATACAAGTCATTGAAATGCTTTCATTTTCATATGTTCCCACATTACTATTTATCCCTAACATTAATTAAGACCTACCAATGTACCAGGAAGAAACCACTATAAATAGATATAATGGCCCCATATGGAAAACTCAGACAAACGCTATTTCTTTTAAGCTGTACTTCAGAAATACTTAGGGAACACCACAGAACCTTAGTCCATTGTGATTTGGAGAGATACCTGGAACACATTTATAGTAGCTGCAGTATGCTGATGACACATGGGTTCTTGTTTTTCATATTCTTTACTTTTCATCATGTTTATAGACAACATGTAAAACCCCCAAGCCCAGATAAGAGCAGTCTTACTGTAAGCATGTGGGGGCTCTCTTGACCCTGACTGACTGAAGTCAGGAAGACTGAAGGGGGTAAAGCTCCCCAATTCTTGTGGGAGGTGTGGTGGGGGAATTTCCCACCCATAGAAAAGGTCGGAAGCATCAAGAATTTTTAAAGCTCCCCAAATAATTCTCATATGTAACCAATGATTCTCATTGTGGACCACCAGCATCCACATCACTGGAAAACTTGTTAGAAATTGAGAATCTGAGGCTTCCCCCCAGACACACAGAATCAGAATCTGCTTTTTAACAAGATCCCTGGGGATTCGAATGTACATTCAAGTTTGAGTACAACAATGGGTACAATGATCCAGCAGGTAGAGGCTGATCCAATACTTCAATGATATTTGACATCCTTGTCCTATAGCCAGACTGTGATAAAAAAAGTTTTGTCCGTAAAGAACTCAGTCTTAAACTTATAGATGTCCCACTCTTCCAACTACTTGAGACTTTATAGGACAAGAAGAATTCCTCCAAGTTCCTCTTAGTAACTGCAGAGTACTTCATAGATCCTGAGTGTACTACAAATGTCTCTTGATCATGCCAGTAGAAATAAGAATGCTTTGAAATTAGAAGCTATATTTGATCAAAGGACTATAGATCTCATGGTATAAACATAATACACCAGTCCTTCCTTGAACGTTTAAAGAATATCAGTAAAGAGAATAATACTATTGGCTTCCTGATAAGCTCTTTGCAATCTGTGGATTTTTAGGAAACTAAAATACAGTTCACTTTCCTCCCTTATCACCATGGCTACCAAGTGCCAAATTATTTCTTTTAACCAAATACATTGAGAAGGCCTGTGGAGTTTTACTATTTCATTCCTTTCTATTTACAGCTTAAAAATGTAAATTGAAACTGTACTTTAAAGAAAAAAAAAAACAATTTTCTGAAGGTGTTCTCTGGAGAAAGGCAATGAAAGGTGAAATAAATTATGGAAAGTGTTTATTGATAGCAAACATGTGATGTTTTTGCAGCACAGGTGACTCATTAATTCAACTAATAGGAAAAATATGCCACATGAGTAAAAGCTTTCCAAGGATGGTTATGGACATGATAATAAAATTTTGTGCATTTTGCTGCTTTGGGTTTGTTGTTGCTCTTGATGCACCAGTACAGCATTCTAAAACCTTTCCCCACAGCGCGTTTGACACATACCCAACCAAATAAATTACTATTCCCAGCTTGACTTCTAGAAAGAACAAGAATTTCACATGCCAACCCATGGCTGAGCCATAGTATGTATTTGCTGAAAATAAAAAGAATAGTTGTCATTTAGTGAAGGCTTAACATATGTTAGGCACTGCATTAAGTATATTCATGCTTTGCTTTACTCAGCTCTCAAACAACCCTATGATACATCAGTCCCATTCTCCAAAAGTGGAACATGAGGCTTAGAAAGCTTAATTTAGTTGCTTTAAACCAGCCAACAGAGGCCAAGCTCTTCTCCTATAATACTTCTCATTGTCAGAAAGATTTTCCCAGCAATATCTCTTGACCAGAACCGGAATTCTGTGAAACATGCCGGATGGCAAAAGCCTGACCTATGGGTCTTCTGTGCTTTTAGCTCATCCTCATCTTGCCCAGGAGGAACATAGTGCTGGTAGGATCATCTCAACAGAAGGTGGCAGTACGTGGCACCGAGACTTCTTATGATGCCAGGGATTTCCAAGAAGGAGCCAGCTTCCTACTTACAGGTTTCCTACCTCCCCATACCTCTTGGTCCTCTGCGAAGGAGATGGAAGGAAGGGATAGTTGTAGAAATTAATTATTTGTTAGGATAAGTCTCTTAACCCAGGCCATTCTAACAACAACAACAACAATCCTGATTTCATGTATTGCTTTGGTATATTTAAACCGTTGTATATTGTCAGAAATAGTATATGTTTTATCCAAGACTTAAAAATACTGTAACTTATTAAGTGTATAAGAGTTCAATCCTTTCTTTCTATTTTTTTCAATGGCAGAAGCCCTTGCATTCCAAAGTCAGTTATGAGGGTAAGAGGACCTGCCTATCAAATGGATAACAAAAATATTATTCATCACAAATAGAAAACACCCACTGAAATACAATCATATTTTAATCATTAAAGGAATCTTGTGATCTCCATAGCTGGATACAGGTCTTATGAGCCTTATATTCAATATATACATGGTAATAGAACACAGAAATACCCTCTCATATCCACTTCAAGGAAGAAATCATCTGGCAGCATACACCATAGTTTATTGAGCCACTCAATATGTCTAACTTTCATATATTCTCAGCTTTAGGCAACAATATGTCTGCATACATCCATGTATGTGACTAGTGAACTTCAACAGATGTTTATTTTGAACTTAAAATACACAAATTAAATCAAATTAAATACCTACAGGAAATTAGATTTCAAGCCAATCAAATTACATGAAGGAACAGATAAACTCTGTAAGATTAAAAAGTTAATAAAATATTTTAAAATATTTTTAAAACTTTAAAACTGACATTAGTTTTTAAATTATAGTTACCCTCAATATACCAAGATAGTAAGTAGGTTAGCTCATAAATGAGTTGTGGGCAAATTGAGATTTCTATCTTCTAAGAGGCTAGTTGTGTGCAAATACAGGATTTTGAAATTCTTTTCACCTAAAAATTGATAACACTTCCAGAAGGTATGTGTTTGGTTGGATAGGATGACAATAAACCACTGCCTTGGATCAGCAAAAACTTGGGGTGGTCCTTTTTCCACGTTTTTAATCTTAGATATCATCCTGAGTCCAACACGTCTGCGTGTCAAATGAATGT